CCCCAAAACCCCAAAACCCCCAACGAAGTTTGATTGCAATTAAAAAATAATAGGGAAAATATGCTTACAATTTATTAAAAATTTATGATTATCTAATCTTGTTAAAAATAAATGGATTAGAAAAAGTGATTGTCTTACCATTACTCTATAATTTTTTGTATTAACTTTGATTTCAAATAATAAGGAAGTAATTTCAGAATGTGATTTCGTAAACTTCCAAATCAACAACATTGAATCTAGAGTTTCCCGCTAAGTAATCATTTTTATTCTACTATGATATCTCAGAACCTTCTTAGTTAATTTTTTTATGATTCATATCGCAAAAATTTCGAGAGTCCAAATTGGAATCATTATAAATACAAATGCATGTTTTATTTCCTTTTCCAAACATCATGATTTAAAAGTCTTTGCAATGAAAAACAGCGCAATCAACAAATTTTGTTGTACTCTTTGTCAGAGAAAATACAAATGATTCACCCTCCTTTACGCCTTATCTAGTTTCAGGAGAAGTCCAAGGCTAAGAAGTATAGCCTCCAAACACTTATCCATAATCACTTAAAATGAAAGATATTGTTGGCCCTTTATTATCACAATGAGTATGAAAATCTATTGATTTATATCCATCTCTAGAAGCCTGATAAATCATCTTCACTTCTTTTTGAATATTTCCTAGCTTATTCGTTAGAAGAGCATTGTTATTTGAAATTCTAAGTAGATTATTAACTTGCTCATTTACAAGTCTTCTGAATTCTAAATACATGTTATGAAAGCATCTTGCGATGTTGAAAGGGACAACTACTATTTGATCTAACTTTTGTAAATCATGTATTTTTCTAGTGGTTTGTTGATTCATTAAAAATTAATCATTTTTCAAATGAGCCTCTTCTTATACAAAGTTCTAGTGCTTCTCATTAAAACTTTTGCTATAAAAATATTTAGACTATATAAAGAATTTTACGAAAACAACGAAAGAAAGTTAAAAATGTCAGATTTTTCCTTAATTTAATTCTTAATAGCTTGATCAATAACCTTAGTCTCATTTGGATCCTTGAGCCAGCAATAACTGCAAATTATTTGATGTTCTTTCTTGCAGTAGATGTTCGCGTTTTCCTGAGTATGAGTATCGCATTTAATGCAGGAAAAATCATAGTTTTGGAGAATTCTTATCAGATACATAGGCTCAATAATTTGCTAATCAACAGGACAAAGATGCTTGATATCGAAAGGGCATTGAATTTACAGATTCTATACTTAATCTTTTTGATTATTATAGCATTACATGCACAGAAGATCTCCACAGGATAACAGGAATGGTTTTCGGTCTTAAAGATTGAAGAATTTTTTGCAGTGTTAGCATATCAGCATATCGTTGCAATCCTTATATTACATATTTATTTATTGATTTTAGTTTATTTAATTATGATAATCGGCCAACAATATTAATTAGACTATTTTCAATGTATATTTAATTATTTCCGAACTCTATAAACAAGTTATTTTAATAAAAATTTACATGGGGTTTTGGGGTTTTGGGG